TCCTCTAGATAAAAAATCATTTTGATGACCTTGGCCAAACGAGCCCTCTCCTGCCTGATTGTTATTGAAGTGTATGGAAATATACAATATGACCACAACAAAGAACTGTGCTGGGTGTGAAGGTGCCATATCATCATCATTTATAATGCCAGAGGTAGAAATTGAGAACACAATAACACCTGCATGGCTATTTGTGAAATTATGCAGAACTTAGCATTCATCTTAAAAAAAAGCCCTATTATGCTTTTTGGGGGTTTTCCCTTTTCCTGTGGGATGCAAAGGCTAACATTCCTAAGTTCAATCCAGAGGGAGTTTGTCTCCCAAACCCCCCCAGTGCATGAAAAGCCTCGATTGGACTCCTTTGATTACTTTAGTAACATAGTGACATCACTATGTAACACTCGCACTTTTGGTTAAGGTGTCGGATATCTCTAAGCGGTTGGCCAATCACAACAGAGCCGGCCAGCTAACCAATCAGAGCAGACTGGGCTCTGGTTTCAGACAGAGGGTGAAAAGAGGTGCTGCAGCACAGGCAGTATGAGACAAATGAAGAGCTTTTGGAACATCAAAGCATGGAGACATGTCACAGGAGAGACACTACATACTGATCGGAAAATGTGCAGAATATCCTCATCCGGAAACACACATGAACACCAACACACACACACACACACACACACACACACACACACACACACACACACACACACACACACACACACACACACACACACACACACACACACAGGTAAACACAGGTTGGTGTAGCTTGTGTACTGAAACCTCTTCTCTGTCACTAGTTACATCCTTATTGTCTGCATACTGTCTGTGCAGGGCCTTTCATGTGACTTTAATAGATAAGTCTCATGTCTGGAGAAGCTTTTGTTTCAGAGACAGACAGTTGGGTGGGGGGGGTTTATACAGAGACATGTCTTTGGCAGCATTTATTTTACAATGCATTTAGTTCACTGCTGTGTCACAAATCACTCAGAGAAAGTGACATTTAAAGGCTATTATTGATAAGACCAGGGAGAAATATCAATTTCATCTTTAATTAAAAGACGTGCAACGCTTCCTTCTCTTCACATGTCCCAATGTGTGGGGATTTAGCTGTGAAATTGTACAGCATATAATTCAATTTGATTTGAGGAGAAGTGGAAAGCTTCCTCTGATGAGACAGAGCAGTAGGTATAGGGAGGCGAGTGGCGCAGTGGATTAATGCGTTGGTGTTGGGATCAGGGGGTCACAGGTTCAAACCCCACTGCAGTCAGCATGTCGTTGTGTCCCTGAGACACTTCACCCCAAATTGCTCCTGTGGGGATTGCCCACAGTATTGAGTATGTAAGTCACTTTGGATAAAAGCGTCTAACATGTACAGTAATGTAATGTATGAGAAGTGCTAATCCAGTTTCTAATAGAATGATAGTGTAGAGAGTTGTACCTGGACCACCATACCCACAGAACTAAGGAAACTAACCTCTATCAGCTCTTTTTCCAAATCTGTCAAACAGTGGTTATTGGACAATCAACCATGCTGTGATGAGGGTGATATCATATCATATATTTCATACTGCCTGTGCCTATTAGCTCTAACTTTGCTAATGTATGTGCTTTTGTGTCGTTCTGTGTGTTTATGGGTTTGCATACATTGTCTTATTTTAATAGGACATATGTGCTTGAATGTGTGCTCTAATTGTACTTCTGTGTTTTAATTGTTCTCATGTGGTTTTGTCCGTGCTTATGTGCTCTTTGTGTTTCAATGCCATTACCCTGCCAGGAACCGCAGAAGAAAATTAGCCTCTGTGGCTTAATGTGGCCCGTTTACATTATAGACTCATGTTAATTAATGTGCATTACCCATTCTTAAATACAAAGTACATGTACAAACAGACTCACTTGACCAAGACCAAGTTAGCTACATAATACACTATTTTTGGGGGAATAATGTAAAAATAATTCCTTGAATACATGAATGAATACAGATGAATACATCTGTGCCCTAAAATGTCAATGCAATATAAAGAAGACTGTCATTAAAACCAGGCCATTGTTCCTGGGGGGCAGATTGCCAAATCGACAAATGTAATTTTAAGAAGACATTAAACTGGTTTTGTGGAATCAAATGTGTATGATACATCTTTCCTGCAGTAGGGTGGTTATATAACAGCCTCTGTACAACAATTAAACCGAGGATTAGTGACAGTGTTATGACTTCAAAGGTCCAAAGTTCAATGTATTCATCCATAAAATCATGCAGATTATAGTGCTACCGTGCCAATAAAACGACGCTCATCATGTGCTTCACATCATCCACACAACCATGTAGCATCAACTCCTGGATGGGTGGGTAATTAACGGTACAGTTCAATGTAAAGAAGCAGCACCTACAACCTGGCTGCACCTCTGTTTACTGATGAATCTCAACATCACATGTGTAAAAGTCAAATACAAGTGCTTTGATTCAAGTATGTGACACTTTCCCCTGTGTGTCGATAGTGACACTAGAGAGAGGACACAACATGAGGGGTTAAAGAGAATGGTGTCGTGCAGAAAACCAGGTTATGAGTCAGCATGTGAGCTCAAAGTCAATGGCTTTTTGAAAATGCTTTTGGTTAGAAGCCTGAAATAAGGTCTGTGGTTTACAAAAGCTGAAGAGATTTTCCCGGTCTGTTCCATGACATCAAATTGACAGTAAATACCCCACTTGTGACTGTCTGAAGCTCATATGTGTCATAAAAATGGCGGTTTCTAACAAGTGACTAAATGTCTACTCAACGCCATCCCGCCAAAAATGTGCCGCCTTTAGCTTAGCGGTGGTGATGTGCAGCCATGTGACCATGCTGTAGTGTGTTTATAGCCTAACGTTAGCTTTTTACTCCTGAAAATTGTATTTACTCTTCAAAGATTATAAAAGTGGCATTAAAGGTCCCCTATTATTCTGTTTTTCATCATTATATTACAGGTCTCAGATATATACAAAACATGTATCTGAAGTGTTTGGCTCCAAACACCAAACAGATCATTGTAGCATCCCATAATCCCCTCTGTTTCAGCCCTGTTTCAAAAGTGCTGATTCTCTGTCTGTTACTTTAGATGAAAATAAGGAGCCCCTCCCCACGCCCCTCTGAGAGATATTTGGTTAAAAAGAACACAATGGTGCTAGGTGAGATTCAGGTGATAAGGTGGGGGTACATGTGAGTACCATAAACCTGTTGTTGCCTTAGATTTTATTTGATGTTATATTTCCAAATCCAATGTAAAAATTCCATTCCTTTTTGATGAAGTAACCATTGCAATACTAACATCCCGGTCAGCCTGCAAAAATACGTCATCATTGCACCACTCTATTGAAGACATCCAAAAAAAGTCCCTTGAGGGCCACCAACCTGGGACACAGCGTTTCATGTGTCTTGACATCTAGTCATGTAAGATGTCCCCGTGGACAAAGGTGAAGACACTGCACTATAAACACCTGCAACACTAAGGAATTCCCACTGCTGATATCACATATCACATTAGACGGCTCAAGTCATTATCAAATTCAATCTGTGCTGTAATTCATGCTACTCATTAGTGACTAGTTTCAATCCATGCTCAACAATATAACATTACATAACCTGTGCAGCTGGTTTTATTTGAGCAGCGTATCCACTTATGAGAAGGTCGCCGGTTTTCCTTGCCCCTGCTGTCTACATGAAAAAGCCATCTGCGAAGCTTTGAAAAACTAAAAAGTTAGCGCTGAGCTTCAGTCTGCAATGTTCAAAACAACAGATGAAGCCAGAAATCTAGGTGTAGTCATGGACTCTGAGCTGTGTTTCAACAGTCACATTAAAACAATTACTAAATCAGCCTACTATCACCTAAAGAACATAGCTAGGATTAAAAGACTAATGTCACAGCAGGATTTGGAAAAACTTGTCCATGCTTTTATCCTCAGTAGACTGGACTACTGCAATGGTGTCTTTACGAGTTAATCATTTAGCAGGAGATCAGAAATGTATTTTGGGCCTAAACCATTCAAAGCTTTATAAACCAGCAACAATATTTTGAAATCAATTATTTGACACACAGGAAGCCAGTGTAAAGACTTCAGAACTGGACTGATCCACTTCCTTAGTGTTAGTGAGGACTCGAGCAGCAGCGTTCTGAATCAGCTGCAGCTTTCTAATAGATTTTTGAGTGAGACCATCCAGAACGCTCAGGTCTTCAGGGACTGGTCAGCTTTCTGTCCCCAGAGTCAGAACTAAACATGGAGAAGTTCAGTTATTATGCTCCAAATATCTGGAACAAACTCCCAGAAACCTGCAGGTCCGCTGCAACTCTTACTACTTTTAAATCCAGGCTGAAGACTTTTCTTTTTGCTGCTTTTAATTGAACTATTCACATCTTAAACTGCACTGTAACTTGTATCCATGTATTTCATATCTGTATCATATGTCAGCTTGTTTTATGTTTATTTTCTTCTGTTTGCTTTTTAATGACTGTTTTTGAATGCCATTTTATAATATGTTTCCGCTGCACTACTTCTTAATGCTCTTAATGTCTTGAATGTTTGTAAAGCCCTTTGAATTGCCTCGTGTTGAAAGGAGCTTTATAAATAAAATTGCCTTGCCTTGCCTAAAGCTGCATTCACCTGACCAGCGGTAAACCGGCTCTGCGATGACGTTAATGTTGTAATTCTATGGAGAGAATCAGTCTTTACAAAGTACAAAATATTTCCTTCTACAAAAAATATGACCAGGGATCCTGATATTTACTGAGTTATATAATGTAAACAACCCTTAGTGCACCTGCCATGTATAATAATAGTGCAGCTGGAGGCTGTGACCCTAACATGCCTGGCTCCACCTGCATCATCACACACTATCTGGAGAGCTCCTCCATAACAGTTTTCCTAAACAGAATATTGCTGGCTTTTGGCATCACCAGCGTGTTTACAGCACTGCTCAGATGTCAGAACTTCTCCTCCACAGCAGTTAGAAAGCAGAAGCAGGTCCTACCTGTGTTGGGGTCCACAGAGAAGAAGGGCTGTCCCTGCAGGACGCTGTAAACGATCTTGGCGCTGTTCCCGTAGGTCGGATCGTCTGCATCTGAGGCGCTCACCTGAAAGACTGACGTTCCTGCACAGAGAAGAGAGCACACAGTCAGTCAGACAGGGATATAGCCAAAGCAACAACCACCAAAAAGATAAATGACAGTTTGTGAATATTACTATTATGACTTACTTGAATCATTTTAGATTCTGAAAAGCTTTTTTTTACGCCTAACAAAAGTGTCATTGTCACACGGGTGTATTAGCACAGGTACATGCTCGAGAAGTAGTAACAAACAATAGAATATTTCTTTACATCATTTTGTTCTACAAAATCTAAAGACTTGACTTTGGTTGGTTAACTTAAGTAACTCAACAATGCAGGCTATCACCGATGAATAGCTAGCTTGTTAGTAAGAAAACAAACTGATAAGCTGCCCTGTAGATTGCATAACATTGTGACAATATTTTTATAAAAACAGTGAGTTAAGACAGAGTTAAGTTCATATTCAAACAAATATTGAAGATCATGATTTGCAAATCAAAACTGCGGAAAAAGACTAGCAAGTCCCCATTGAGTTGAGATAATTTTGTTAGACATCATTCTTTCCTGCTTACTTTAATTAAATCTGTATTTTCGCTTCTTGAGACAGAATGTTTCCTAAACACTAAACATAATGTTACTGTTACTGCTGCACTAGCCTAGGAAACAGAGCAACATCTTGTTATGACACTCTTTACTCTGAGCTGCAGTGAAACACAGTGCGTGCGTGTGTGTGTGTGTGTGTGTGTGTGTGTGTGTGTGTGTGTGTGTGTGTGTGTGTGTGTGTGTGTGTGTGTGTGTGTGTGTGTGTGTGTGTGTGTGTGTGTGTGTGTGTGTGTGTGTGTGTGTGTGTGTGTGTGTGTGTGTGTGTGTGTGTGTGTGTGTGTGTGTGTGTGTGTGTGTGTGTGTGTGTGTGTGTGTGTGTGTGTGTGTGTGTGTGTGTGTGTGTGCAGAGATTCTGTGAGCAGCCATTAGCCTGTCAAGTAGCTGCAGACTGGAGGGTAATTCTCCCTCATCATCATGGACCTGCGTTGGATTTGTTTTCATGGCAAAGAAATGTTCACTTTAAAGGTCCCATGTCATGGCCATTTCTACTGATCATAATTCCATTATTGAGTTCTACTAGAATAGATTTACATTGTTCAATGTTCCAAAATCACATTGGTTTTCTCATACAGCATCTCTGTAAAGTATGTGTATTCACTCTGTGTCCTAAACGCCTTGTTGGAGCTCCTGCCCCCCCCCTCCCTATGAGTCCACTGTGCTCTGATGTGTGTTTATGTTTTACAATGGCGTTTGTTAGCAACCAGAAAATGACACCAATAATGACAAACAGATGAGAATGCTGCGTGGGGTCTGGGTGCCGTGTTGGCGGGACGTTGCGGGGCTCGCTGCTCCGCCCTTTGAGACTCGAGGAGCCGACTGTGTGAGCTGTATTACTGGTGTCGTTTCCTGGTTGCTGCGTGGGGTCTGCGAGACAGCGAGACACCGCGGAACTCAGCCTGAGCACGCACACACACTCACAGTCAGGCACAGTGTGGCGAACTGTGAGTGGAGATCCACGGAGCCGCGGCTGAGAAAATATAAGGCTGAGTGAGTGTGTGTGTGTGAGGAGCTCCACGGATTGGTCCAGTTGGACCTGTGTATCGTTACGTCACTTTACTCAGGAAGAAAAAAATTGAAAAAGAAAAATCTCCAACGAGGCGTTCTGGGGCAGCATAGACAGGTCTTTTCTGTGTTAGAGTTTTACTCGCTACAGGGTGTACTTTGAGGGTTTGTGACTGCAGACCGTTTACATGCAGAAAAAGCAACATAACACACAAGGGGACGGGTAATAACCAGAAAAGCATATGATGGGACCTTTAAGTCAAATTGAGGTTTGAAGTGTCTAAAATCCTTCACTAACACATATATTTTTGTATTATTATCATTTCCTTTTGTTGTATTATTGGTTTTAGTGGAACCACACTCTTCCATTTGATAGACGACCACATTACATTACATGGTATTACATGGCTAGGGGAGCAATTTTGCATTAGCTTTAATTGGTAGATCAGCACATCAGGGCCCTGAGCCAACAGCTCACATACAGACGCTTATAGACAGTCCATACCATTGACATACCATTGAATGGAGGACATGACAAAAGTGAAACAAAAACATTTTGTCGACAGAAAATACTGCCTGAATCTGGAGGGGTGGGTACTATTTCTTATTTCTTCCTCTGTAAATCTGGATCCACCACTGACCAAATAACATTATGTACATTTGGCTGTTAATTCTTACTCAAGTAGGTTTGGGGATGTTGGGCTATTTCCTCCATCAGCAGTTAATCCTTCTGCTCCTGCTGCAGCTTGTTATTTCAAAGGTCTAGCTTGAGAAACAGCTGCCTCTGTTAATTAAACAGCCTTCATGTCTAATACTGCTGCGTCTCATCTCAAATAATGCTTGACAGAAATGCCAGGTTCGGATATCAAAATGTCATTGGCTTGTTAAATGTTGTTTACCAAACTCCCAAAATGTATTTTCCGTTTTATAAACACACATATGAGTATATGACAATTCTATGGCCGCTTCCATCATATTGACTACGGTGGCCGACAGGTGAAAACGCTGTACAATGGCCCAAAATACATCCATAGGGAGGAACATGCTGCAATTTAAAAACAATGCAATTATAAAAACACATGCGCAACATTCGGAAAACAGTCACCAAACTGACAAATCCTGCAGCATTTACTGAAAGCCCTGAATAAACCAGTTAAAATACATGCTGCAACTAGCTCACAACAGAAACAAGGGGGACACTGACAGGTGACGCACACGGCTGGAGCGGAGCGCTTGTTGACGTTCAGGGATTATAAAGCAGGCCAACTGTCACTGGAAACTCACTTACAACTTATCTAAAATGTTAGTTTTCTTCTTATTTTATCAATGTGATCACATGATTCCTTCTGATATTATTGCATATCTGCTTTAAGCTAGCTAGCTAACCTAGTTTACCTAGTCTTATTAAATATATTAGAATCCACTTCAAGACACTGGTACTTGCGTACCATGATCTGGCCCTTCCTACACCCAGGACATGGTTAAACCATACACCCCAGCACGTGCACTCCACTCTGCATCAGCCGGCTCGCTGCACCCGCACTGCGAGGGGGACCCAAGTTCCCATCAGCAAAAACACGTCGGTTTGCTATCCTGGCTCCAAAATGGTGGAATGAGCTCCCCATTGACATCAGGACAGCAGAAAGCCTACACATCTTCCGGCGCAGACTAAAAACTCATCTCTTTCGACTCCACTTCGAGCAATAAAATGACTAACAAAGCACTTAGACCAGAGACCCACCCATTCATTTTTGTCCTCTGTGGACTTTGAGGTTATACATGCCACAGCATTAAGTCCAAGTGTACTCCACAGAGGACATCCTGGACTTTTCAAACATATGACATATGTGGGGGTGTGGCTTTGAAAAAGATAATTTCATTGTATTTCAAAATGGCGTCCATCAACACAAGCACTATTTATAGAAAGAGAAATGGTAAGTTTGTAATTTTGTAATTACCAGTGTTGTGAGTTCAATATTTTAATTAATTATAGTAAGGGAAATCTTAGGAGTTAGTGTAGTGAGCAGTGTAATACTTATTTGACCTACTGTACAACTAAATGTTTTTATGAATGTCCTCTGAGGAGGACATGGGGATTTGCTAACTTTTTATTTCCCCCATTTTACACAACACAAATGAAGTCCACTATGGGCCAAAACTAACACCTAGGTTTCTGTAGGTTTCATGGCAGACGGATGCAGTGGGAAAACATACATCAAGTGCCTCAAGTGTCAGATGTATCTCTGCATTTCAAAAAAGGATGGAGTTCTACAAATAAGGGCTCAATATTTGTTGTATTGAGTTGTTGTGCTCTAATGTTGTCTAAATGTACTTGTATGTTAATGTTGTTTGTATACTATGCTTCGCATAACTAACACCCGATGTCCTCTACAAAGGATACACAATAAAACAAAAATAAAAATATATTTTTTTAGTTTTTGTTAGTCATTATGTTAATACCACCCTAGAGACTTGTGTGATCAAAAAAAAAAGGAAATTTGAAACATTTTTCTTTCTGGGTCTCAGGAGGATACTAACAAAGGACTGGCTTATCTAAAGCTAGTTAAGTAGCACTTGAAATGTTTTGGCTCTATGAAACCTGATGCCTGTACTACGAAGCCGGATTTTCGCTTAGCCGGCTGACTTCAGGGAAATCTCGGGCTTTCCGGTCCTACGACGCTGGTTCTCTTTTTAGCGGGCTAGATCTCCATGGTAACTTATGCTGAGCGGCTAACCTCCTCGGGAGGAGGTTAGGTTGCAGGCTAAGAGATCAACTCAGTGAAAGCACCGCCTGCTGACCAATCAGAGCTCCGTGTGCGGAGTTTAAAGCTATCAAGTCATATTACAGGATAGAGGAAATACAGAAAAACTGCCGTTGCAGGAAAGACGGCCGGCAAAAATCAACTGACTGTGTGAACGTGAAAATTAATAGAATATCCCCTCCCATCTTCAGAGCAATCTGACTATTATAACATTAGCGTTAAGAAAGCTTACTTAAATATCTGCCACAACATAAGTAACCGGATCAGAGTAACATTAAGTACAGTCCGCGGCACTGTGAGTGCAGACGTCGATGTGTCCCATTATCATTCATATCACATCATATCACATAATAATGTATCATATATTTCCTTATCTGAGTCAGCTTCTTGAGCCGTATCTGGCCGTGCAACACTCACAGTGTCACATACTGTATGCAGAAGTATTATTTTAAGCAACACATTAAGTTGACGAAACACTCGAGTCAAATTTAATTAAAGTCAGATCCACTCGTGTCTTAGACGGGCAGTGATATCATAAACCTGTTAATGTACGCATTCAAACGCTTTTTCTTTTACCAGCTGTATTCACCTTGCAGGTGCAACTATGTGGCTTTTATCCTGGATAAAGTGTTTAAGTCATGGATGTTTAAAGTTTAACTTCTTCATATTTGACTAATATTAAAGTTCACTTTTCATTCAGGAAGTATGACGCTGCGCTGTCAGTACGCTTGTCCATGTTTGAGATTGGTCGAATGCTCCAAATACCACCCCTTTCATGTGAACGCGCACCTAACTAGATAGGACACGGCTGGCTTGAGCGATCCACTTGATATCCAGTGTCGTAGTACCGCTTAGCGAGAGCGCGTATGTTTTGGATTGGGCCAACCGGCTAACTCAAACATATCCAGGTTAGGTTGAACCAGCTTCGTAGTACAGGCCTCTGATGTACTTATATGATTCTGTTTTCTTCAAGTTTGTATCTTCTTGGTCGAATGCACTTATTAAGTAAGTCGCTTTGGATAAAAGCGTCAGCTAAATGCAATGTAATGTAATATACTGACAGATACTTACAATTATTAAACAGACTAACTCTGCTAACAGTGACAGTTGTCCAACTTTATAATCCCCGAACGTCAACAAGCGCTCTGCTCCCAGCTGTTTCATCACATATCAGTGTCCCCTGGTTTCTGTTGTGTTTTCAGCTTCTTGCAGTGTTTTGTATTTACAGAAATATGTATATCCAGGGTTTTATGTATGCAGTGGTTTAGTAAACCCTGCTCATGGGTTGTCTAGTTAGTGAGGATGTTTCTTTATTTGCATGTGTCTTTGCCCATTTGCGTTTTTATAATTGCATCACATCTGAGGCTGCAGCGCAGTTAGGCCTAACTACAGATATACACAAACCGGCATCCGATCAGTTCACAAGTCCCTACAGACTGATCTACTGCCGCCCCGATTAAGAATTGACATAGTCAAAGTGAATGGTCAAGTCTTGACTGATCGTCAATTATAATTTGTTTTGCTCATTGATCCACCTGTTAATAAAAAGCTAAACTAACCAGATGATTGCTGGAGATGAATGTGACATCGCTTAGCTGTTGTTTTAGAGATCAGCAGACAGTGAGACTTCTTAGCCTGCTTACTTTTCTTGGTTGTTAAAAAATCTTTGGCCCTAATTCCATTTCCCCACATTAAAGCAATCCACAGAGAGAAGGGGGCAGACAAGAAGAGAGAAGATGGAGAGACGAAGGAAAGATTCACAGACAGGTTCATAAATGAGACCGAGTTGGGAGCTGCATGTGATGAAGAGCAGAGTGGGTGGGATGGAGAGGGATAAAAGACCCAGAGATAATGATCAATGTAGAGGGAGACAAAGACAGGGCCTGAGCAGCAGGAGCTAAAGACACACAGTGACAGTCCTGCTGGTCTTTATGTTCTGTTAGCTGTCTGCTTTTACAAGGTCATGTTGTTTGATTGATGATGGAAATGAGTGGGAAGCTGGGCGACTAATCTCTGAGGTAGGAGAAACCTTTGGAAGCATTTCACAGTAAAAATCCTTAACAAAACAAAGACATTCAACAGAAATGTCCAAATAAAATAAAATGCTACACAGCCCCAGTCACGCTTTTGTTTGCCAACCACTTTTGGCTTCAAGAGCATAAAGTATACTTTCATACTTTGAGAGGTTTTTAAAAAAGTGTTTTGTCATTTGCAGTTGTTTTTTGAAGCACACTGCTCTTGTTTGTGGCTATGAAGGTAGATATGGTGCAAAATGCGAGAGCTTGTAAAACCTGATGAGAGCACTTGCAGAAAATAAATCAGAGCTTGTGTGCACACATTTACACTTGTATAAAAATATCCACGCATCTGTGAACCAAATTTGAAGTCACAGGAAAACATAAAAGTTTTGTAGCTTGTAGAAAAAAATGAACTCAGTGATGAAATGTTCACTTGCAGAAAAATACATATTTTTAAAATATATTTTCCATTACAACTGCAACTTGGTTATTACAACCTCTCAAATCAGTCATTACAACTTCACGAATCTGCTCTGTGGCAGTATAAATCGACAAATCTGCGGCCTTGACTTTTGCTACACTTCTTGCGATGAATGTGTCGCTAAAGTAATTTTCACCTGTAGATGTGGGGGGAGGGAGGGGGGTTGGAGCGAAGGGGCGGAGCTATCAGAACGACGAGGCGCAAGCTTGGGTCAGTCACACACAAGTCACAGCCATAGTCTGCTGTTGCCCCTTTCACACCAACGCAGCTCCCGTTCTAGCTCCGTGTGAAAGGGGCAACAACAACAATGGGGGACTGCGTCGGGTCGATGATCGTGTTACTTTTAATATATAAGCCAGATTAAATTAAATAACTACTTCTCCAACCTTATACTTTTCTCCAGAGTGCCGTGGTTCATTGTTTAATAATGTGTTTCAGCGGCATTTACCGACCGCTGTAAAGTATTCACTGTCTGACTGTCACACAAGCAGCTGATACATATCCCCAGTTCCCCTTAAGTGAATGTGTGTCAGTCTGAATTGACGCTGTTTGGCATCACAACGCTGTTATGAAAGTTTCTCTGGTATAACATGGGTGATGTTAGCATAGCAACCAAAGCTAAACTGACTATATTGACTACTAGGCCATCTGGTCGTGCTTTTTACATCGCTACAGCTTCCATAGATGAATTTTTTTTATGTATTTATTGTCAAAGCATTTAATATATTCATTGCTATCGGGAGCATTCCATGGAATATAACAAAAAGTGTTTCTGAAATAAATTACATACCCCACCTTTAACTGTGTGTATTAAACTGAAACGGAGCATTTTCTGTCAGCTCAGATTTTACTTCAGCTTTTTTAAACTGTAGTATGTGCTCATGTGTTTCAGTGTTGCTGAATGAAAGGCAGCTTTTCCTATCAATACAATTTCTGATCCTAAATATCTTGGTTTCTTCTTGTCTAAGGTCACATTGTTCTGTTGTGTTACCTAATACACTGAAGTAAAAGATAGTTGATTCAAAAGTAACAGAAAAGTAATAAGGATACATTACAGTCATATAATTATACTAACTCGAGACGACACACACACACACACACACACACACACACACACACACACACACACACACACACACACACACACACACACACACACACACACACACACACACACACACACACACACACACACACACACACACACACACACGTTTCATTCCATACCCCGCAGTGTTGATGTGAAGAGACTTTGATAGCCATTGTTTTACTGCTTTTCCTAATTAATTATGTATTATTTCACCCATCCGCCATCCTTCCGATATTACTCTGATGATCTTATGACCCCGTCTGGTCTGTGGATTAAACCTGCGGTTATGACTGCAATCTACGCATCACTAGTGAGAGCAATGGAAAAAGTCAAGGTCCTTGTATGTGTGCACCAAAAAAGCTAATTTGGAATCTTGTTGATATTTATTTTGTCTTGTATTTACTTGCATTTGTCATTGAGGTAATCCAAAAGTAACGGAAAGTAACTTTTACATTTATATTGTGATTATGTTACTGATTACATTTTTTACAGTTAATTAGTAATTGTAATGGGTTACATTTTTAAAGTAACCCTCCCAACCCTGCTTACCAACTTCCGACCTCTCAGGCACAGTTGCATTGAAGGGTCCTTCAGGGAACGTGGGGGCGTTGTCGTTGACATCCTGGACCTTGATGATGAACTCTGACTCCGCCTCCAGGGAGTGGTTGTTCTGCCGCTCCACGGCCCTGGCATGGAGCACATACTGAGGCTTCCTCTCCCGGTCCAGGCTCCTCGCTGCGTGGATGTCACCCGTTGTCTCGTCAATGATGAAGATGGACCCAGCCCCCTCCCCCGACAGGATGTAGCGCACAGAACCATCAGCCTTGTCGGAGTTGGAGTGGAGCTGGAGATGAAAGGAGGAGAAAAAGGAAGAGAGGGAGGGGGGTGTTAAGTGTCTGACAAGTATGATTCAGAGTAATAGCCAAGTGTCAGGCTGAGTGGTCAGTTAATGGTGAGGGGCAGGAAAGGAGGAGCACAGCCATCCAATCAGGGAAGGAAAAATTAAAGTCACTGTCAAAGTATACGGGAAAAAGGAGAACGTTTCAAACATGCAGTCCTTCCTCAGCGGGAATTTTCACCGAAAAAATTGTAGACGGAGAGAGAGAGATAATTACCACGAAGGGGAAAGTGAGAGACCCTAATAAAGTTAAAGAGCCTGTGACACGGGTTTCCCCCATCATCCAAACCCATCAATTTTAGTAAATATTGTCCCCTTGAAACCGTTACTGAACTGATTTGGGATATTTGTACTTTGATAACCATTAATCTCCCCTTCAATGTTGACCATATTCTGGATCTTCTCGGGGATTCTTCAAATCCCGCCAAATTATGTGTGACGTAATTGCGGGCCAAGAGCTCCAGCTGCACCGTTCCAGATCCCAGTATCTGCATGTAAACACACGATGGCGCACACAGCAGCAAGCTCAGACAGCGATGACAGTTTAATTTTGAACGTGTCTGAGAGCTCATATGAGGCTGAAGGATCGGAAAGTGATAGTCATGACATCGTAGACGATATTGGCTATATGCCCTACAGATTCGAACCATATGCCTCTGAGTCTGAATCGGATGAAACGAACTCCGAGTCGGACAGTGGAGACGACAACCCGCCCGACGATCGTGAGATACCTCTCGATCTACAACGCTTGAACAATGTGGAATGGTTTGTAAACTATTTTATTTACGGAGTTTGACTAAATAACGATTCTAACTAATCAGTTTATGTTTTATCTGTTAGAAGTTTAGGAATTAAGTGCGTCAATATGGGCGATAATACGGTCATGTAGCCAGTGGCGGACTGGGACTAAAAATCAGCCCAGGACTCTCGACCGGCCAACTTTGGTACCGCTAGTAAATTGTCAACGGGGGGAGTGGGGGATGTGCTAGTGACTTATCCGACCGGCCCACTTCGGTACCGGCCCATCGGGATTCGTCCCGATGGCCAGTCCGCCACTGCACCCAGCCCAGCCCACGTAAACTGTCAACGGGGGGAGCCTCGCTGCGGGGAAACGGTGGACCTATGTGTCCCGATCGGAGTGGGAATAATAATAATAATCATGATCATAAATCATAATCCGTGCATTTTATCCATTAATTTCCCCAACATTGTGGTAAAAAAAACACACGTTTAATCCACGTTGGTGTACTACAACTACAAAAAGCATCGGTTTGTTTTTTCATCAGGAAATGCAGACCGGCTCAAACAAACGATTTTTGATCATCATCCTCACGATCATTTAATGTATCATATGTTTGCCGAATTGACATGAAAGCACGAATAAATGTAGTTTAATCCACTTGAGTTTACAACTACAAAAATAATCGGTTTGTTTTTATATCACGGGAGGAAATTCAGCAGCTCTCACTACCGATTTTTAATCCTAATTTAATCATCATCTTCACCACGATCATTTATGTTTATGTTCGCCGAATTGACATGAAAAGCACTAACAAATATGAATATACTGTAGTCAACTTCATTAAAACGTTATTAACGTGCCTAAACTCAGTAATTCACCATTTCTACGCATGACAACACACTTTGTCCGTGTTTGGCTCTCTCGCCGCACAGTGAAGCATTCCCGCATTAACGTCACTTCCGGCTTCCCCCAAAACTTCAGAATGAGTTGAAGGAATTTCCCCGCGATGTTCGAAATTATTGATATTTATCGGAACGGTATCGCACCTTCTTTTTTAAGCTGACGGTTCGAGATTACTAGTAGCCCAATATTTCATTGCACAACAGTTGTTGGGAGGCTGTCACAGGCTCTTTAAAGTCAGACTGTGTTTGCTCTGGGTTTCATTAAAAAGGCCTTTCATTTCATTTCAAACCTTTATTTAACCAGATTGTCCCTTGAGATCATAGATCTCTTTTTCAAGGGAGACCTGCAGCCTCGCCTGTAGTGTGTTATATAGGTATTTTTGTGTGTAAATGGTCTGCAGAGGCTAACATCCCTGTGTTTCCTTCCGAGGGAGGTTCTCTCCCACACACTCCCCCCCTGCCTGAAACGCCTCCCTTGTAATCCTTTGTTAACTTGTGTTACATAAGGACATCACTATGTAATACATGCGCTTCTATTGGCTACCGCTCAAACACATTGTAGACAGGCGGTATGAGAAAAATAAAGAGCTTTTTGAACATTAAAGCATGTAAAAATGTCACAGAAGAAGCACATAATAACATAATACAAATATAAACCAGAACTTGAGAATAACCCTAAAAGGAACCTTTTTGCCAAATCTATGGCAGAGAATCCAATTCTAGGGGACATAGCAATTTACAGACAGAAGACAAATGACAGACAGCCGCCCTCTATGATTTTGATGGATCATTTCTATTTTATTTAGCATTGTGATAGTGCCCGATTCTTATGTGAGTAGCCTTATGTTGTATGTCTGTTGCCTCCTTAGTCTTATTCTAGACTAGAGACAGCAATTAAATATTTGCTAAAATAAATGATAAAAGTAAAGGTAAATAGATGTAAAATGTATAAATAAGAATAAATACATACAGCACACAACAACACTAGGCAGTGTGGGACAGCGTGGGGTTCATTGACAGCAGTCAGACTGCTGAAGGGAAGAAGCTGTGCGTAGTCCTGTATTTCATACCTGTTTTTCATTTATTCTCTTATTTTTTTATAACTATAATGATCATATAAATGTGTGCCTCGGAAATAATTGTTTACATTAATCGTGACCAAACCGTTTGAGACCCACTGAGATAACTTAGACTAAAGTTAAAGGGGACCTATCATGCAAAATGCACTTTTGTACGTCTTTTATACATGAATATGTGTCCCCGGTGTTCCAGGGAACTCACCAAGTGTCAGAAAACACAACCCTCTCTATTTTCCTCCATACCCAAATCTCTAAAAAAGGGGCTGCAACGGATCTGATAAAAACTGATCCAGATTTGAACACTGTCCTGACGTCAGGACGGTGGCGCTACGGCTATTGGGCCAACTCCACCAATCAGGAGGAGACAGCTACGGCCATTGCCATTCGAAAGCGCTGGAGACGCTGTAGTACATATGCCAGGCCTGTAGATGGTGCTGTTCTCACAGAATCAGCCCTTGCAAAAACAGGGCTAAAAAAGTGCAAATTGAGCTAAATGAGGCATGGCTAAAATGCATGATGTTTGATATTTTGGGGGAAAAAAAGTATAAATATGCCTTATATAGGTATGGTCCTACACTATATTATTATAATATAGCATGATAGGTCCACTTTAACTATCTAAACACTCAGAGAGTCCTTTAGTTCACTGAGCCTCTCAGTCTGACAGGAGAGGACTCTCCTCCACCTTGTTGTGGAAAAAGCTCCTTATATCCGTTAGCGTAGCTCGCTAGCACCAGAAGCTAACAACAACGATCTCCGGTTCTCTCTCTCTCTCTCTCTCTCTCTCTCTCTCTCTCTCTCTCTCTCTCTAGAGCCAGGCTCAAATGAAACACAGAGACCCAGACGTACGTATGATGTACTGTATCATATTATTTTCGAATCAATAATTTTCCAAATTTTCATAACCATTTTTCCTGCTGGTCTCTCGCCTGTCACACCCCCCACTTTGAGAAACACTGGTCTAGGGTCTTATCTCCTCTTGTGGGACAGGAGACATGTTGGTGGAATTGGGAGAACAGTCTTTAGGTTGGAGTGATTGAAATCTACAGCAATGATGAAGACATACTCCGGGTGTAATGTCTGTTGTGTGCTAATGGCTATATGCAGCTCCTTCATAGCTAGCATAGCATTAGCATCCGGTGATATAGGCTGCAATTGTGATGGATGTGAATTCTCTGGGCAGATAGAAGGCTCTGCTTTTAACCATGAGAAATTCTAGGTCGGCAGAACAGTGCCTGGCAATGGTGCTGTTGTCTGTACACTGTTGTAGCAAAACACCTAGGTGGTGGCTGAGAGGCCCCCCCTCCGCTACGCGCCGTTCGTTAGATGAGGCTGATCTCTATTTAATAAAGAAAGGAATTGAAAACACCGGAATTAAAAGTTATAACAATTATCTGAGTTTACTGGTAAGAAACAAAACACGTATACAAGTTTTACAGAGTACTCCGGACTTCAGGTTTCTACTGCGGTGCGATACAGGTATCGGGACCAGCCAGTCAGCAAACAAGAAGCATTTTACATGCAAAAACAACAGTATTCATATTCATATTTTGGGGCGGAGATGTGTTGACTTCTTCCTTCCCATTTTACTCCGAAGCGAATCAGAGAGTCCGTGGGGAGGAGCTGTGTGAGCTGCTCACTCCCCCAGGTGTTTTTACTGGTTGGATTCACTTCTGGTCGGGTCCAATACAGCGAATCAGAGTTCTGAGCAGAACGTGAGATTCTGAAGTTCACAAGGGCAGAGTCAATCTTATCTCTGCACCTATATTCACTCCCTTACTTTCCCATGGAATATTTCACATAAACTATTCTTTCTCAGACAATTAAACATTGTGCACAGATATAATGATGCCCAGAAAGAACCTTGAAAAGAATATGTGTGTGTGTGCTGGTGGGAGGAGGTGCATTTGTGTGTAACAGGATCTCTGGGTCAGTGAGTTGTAAGTGAGAATACAATATCTATATATGTGATTACTTAAAACAGTTCAAACAATACATGTTCACTAAAATACAATTCAAAATAATACATGTTTACTTCAATACAGTTTAGAACCATATCTGTTTACTTCAACACCAGGAGTTGTTGACATAAATGCACAGTCCTCCTCCGCGCATCTTACCACAGTCAGCTGTCCTGTCCGAACGGGTGCAGTGAAGGCCTTGTAACGCGATTGCGCTGTCAAGAACGCCCTCATGCAGCCATGTCTCTGTGAAGATCAGAAT